CTCCAAAGTCTTGCAAATGGTGAATTTCTTTTCTATTTAAAGGTTTTTTCTCGTGGAGAGGTTATTCATGTGAAGATACTTGGAATTTTGGCTCTTATTGATCAGGGTGAAACAGATTGGAAATTAATTGCTATCAATGTGAATGATCCTGAAGCCTCAAAATTTCATGGTAAGTCTAACTTTCCAGAAAATAAAAGTAATTGGTGTGTTGGTGGAATTCTTAGAACTTAAAGGGGGCTCACTTAAAGCACAATTCATATACTTGGGAGTTAAATTTGTGTTTTGTTTTTTATTCTCTTTGCATGGAATACAAAGGGCAAACCAATATAATTTTGTCTGGGTTGTGTCATACTGCTAGGAGGAGCGAGAGATAGAGACAGACAACTATAAGTTCTCCCCTATTCCTTTCTTTTCCTCTCCCTCTTTCTTCCTCCCTTCCCTCCTTCCTCTCTTGAAGGATTGTGATGGCCCAACTTCTATTGCAAATTATGAGTTTTGAAAGCATCCTTCGACTAGGAATGAAAGCATATATTTTTACCCTGAAAACTTTGTTCATGGGACTAACAGGAAAAAACTAAGGAAGGGAGTGTTCATGAACAACATAAGCCATTTCTACCCCTGGCTTTTGTTTTGTTTTGTACAAATGAAGGGAAAGATAACTTCCACCTAATGAAATTTTGATGTCCCAGAAATTTAAGTTCAGGAAATAGTTTGATATGTTCTAGAGTTGATATTTTTCAGAATCAGGCAGACTTCGGTTCGAGTTCTGGCTGTGCTACTTCCTAGTTGACTGATTTGGGGTAGATATTTAACCTTCCTGAATTTCAGTTTGCTCATCTGTAAAGGGAGATAATTATTTCCACCTGTGAGGTTGTTGACAGTATAAAAGATGATTTATTTAAAGCATCTGTCTTCCACATACCAACTGTTGAATATATGGCAACTATTATTGTTCTTTGATTTTTTTCACCCCATTTTCCCTTTTAGTTTCATCCTTATTCAGGGTCTTGGTTCCTTCTAAACCTCAATTCTTATCTAATCTAGAAAATGCACCATTTCTGAGATGGCTGAAACATATTAACATTTATGTGTTAACCTCTCTTAGTTTATGTGCATTTGTAGGGAAAGTGAAGGAAAATGGTCAGAGCCCCTCAGATGTTGAGAATCTTGCTGAGAATTTGATGTAAATATGCATGTGCACCCAGGTGTTCCTTGGCTGTTGTTTAATGTAATTGCATATGTGTGCCCAGGTGTCCTAGGTTATGGACTTAAATATAAAGGATGAGTGGCTCTGATCTATGGGGCCCCCGCCCCTCCCCCCAGATGCCCCTGGGGGGGGGGGCATGAGGAGGTTGCTGCTACTGCCAGTAGGATGATGTCCTGAGGATGCCCTGAGAATGCTGCCGCCACTGCTGCTACCAACAGATCTGCTGCAAGCTGCTGCTGCTGCTGCTGAGGACTGAGCTCATGTCGTCTGCCAGTGGCTCCTGGGATCTTTCCCAGTTACCTAGTGTAGACCTGCGTGTGAGGGGTCTATGACCCAGCCTAACATGTGAGGGGTCTGGTGACCCAGTCTGTACAAT